GCAAGGGCAAGCTCATGCCTAGCATCCTCGGTCATTGGACACATGTATACATAGTGCTCAACCCCATCACGGCAATTACAGATGGTACAGATGTCTATAAGTATTTAATTTTCCACATTAATTAACGACTCTGGTTTCTTTTCATTCCTGAACAGTATTTTCTAATAAGTGCCCTCCAGTGGCCTAGTGGATAAAACCACCGAACATTGGTAGTTAGTCGTAAGTTCGGGCATGTCCAACGTGGAGTTTTCTGAGTTTTCCTCGCGTTTGTAACATCTAAATAGGGTCCAGCTTCCAATAAAAGTCTTTCCGGAATGTATCACTCTCGGAAAATTGCTCTCGCATCGCATTGCTGTAATCAAATAAACCAAACTAATTTTAACGAGCGATTATTTATTGTGACATCGTCGCAATGCCGGGCTGCAATTTTTTGTCACAATGTTCTCAATTCTTTTAGTAGTGTCTTTCCCTGTACATCATACTTTCTCTGTTAGCAATTGAGTCGTGCCGGTTATCTCTCTAACTCCGTGCAGGTGAACATTTTGAATTAAAGTAACGTGACTTCCGGTTCAAATCAGAAGTTTATATATACAGTAGACCCCCTATAACGCGGGTTCCAATAACGTAGATTCCTTTAACGCGGCGAAAAAATTGCGGCAGTATTCGTATAAAGGGACGCGTAAAACGCGGTAAAACGTCATCGCCAACTCGTCATCGCGGACGAGCAGCCGAACTATTTTCCGCCGTCCAGCGCCACGCTACGGAGAGTTTAGGCGGGTAAGTTGAGTTTAACAATTGTCTGTACAGTATTACATATAAATTATATATAAATTAGGTACTGTACATATAATTATATATTAATAATNTCACGTGTTCGGTAGGATTGTCATTTCGGAATCTATTTTTTAAAGTCTAAATCTAGATTGTTTTGTTTGCTTCAAGATTTCAGATTTAAGTAATTAGATAAGTGATATAAAACTAGATTGGTTTCATTTCGAATTTAACTATTTTCTATGTTTTATTTAACTATTATAAAGAAGGTCAGATCAGAGTTTAAAGTGGTAAGTGTAGTACTTATCCTCAATATACCAATATTTTTATAATCTAAGTACGAGTCAGGTCTTGGAGGGCTTTACTCTCATCCGTATGATTGCTTATTTATAGTGTAGTCAGGTTCGGTCGGATCCGTAAAGTACTCCTCCGTTGTTCATTTTTATTCGGACAGTGTTTTTACTTTTCCGATTGTTATAACAGAGGGAAAGTGTGACGATCGGTCAAATAATGACCCACTAAGATTTCTACATTTTTAGACTCGGGACAACTTGAAACGTCAAGAAATTCAAAAATACTGTATTTGGTTTTTTTCCCTGTATGTTTGGATATGTGCAATAAGATTTCTTTTACGCTCTTTGAAGCTTAATAACTCCTGTATATTTTGTCGAAAATTTCTGAACTTTTGCAGGAAGTTTTGTGTGTTAGGGGGGATTGATAATTTGATACTATTAAATTTTTATGGCTGAAGGTCGAAAGGGTGGGGCCGAAAACGTTACCTTGCGAAGTCTTTATCTTTATCTTTATTTATTCCCGATACCGCAAGAGCATAATCGGGTTAATTACAGAGATATGTCAAAGCACAGGTAAATACATACATAATAACAGACAGATAACGTACAAACAGTATGACAATTGAAAAGTATGAACAGAAGGTAAGATGACCAATATAAATCAGCCGATATTATACAAAACGTGAGAGTAGAATAACATGTACGGTAAATTAAAATAGACAATACTAATAGTAATAATAAATATTATACAGATATATGCTGCAGCAGAACAATAATGATATGTATATACAATAATGTGCAAGAAGCAAATGAAAATAATGCCTGATGACTGACTTGACTAACTTAGTGAATGACAGAGCGTATGTGATACATATGAATCAATTTTTTGAATGCTTTGTAGGTGTCACTATCCTTAAGAAGGACATGAAGTTCACATGGCCAGTTAATTCCCCTGTGGCTAAGAGCAAGGGCAAGCTCATGCCTAGCATCCTCGGTCATTGGACACATGTATACATAGTGCTCAACCCCATCACGGCAATTACAGATGGTACAGATGTCCGTTGTAGATTTGCCGAACCTCTGTAAGTAGGCCCGGAATCTCCCATGCCCAGTGAAGAATTGCGTGGTTTCATAGTCCGGACTAACCCAGTGGTTAGAAAGGTGGTCATGAATAGATGGAAAAAAGTTCCTGGCAAGGCCATTGTAACTATCCCATCTCTGCTGCCAGAGATCCAAGCTGTAGTTCCAATGCTGGAGCTTAAGAAAAGAAGCAGGTAGCACTGAATAATTGAAAGGGCCAGAGGTACCGATCGTTGCAGCCTCCCTGGCAAGTAGATCTGCACGTTCATTACCTAGGACACCCTGATGACCTCTCACCCATTCGAGGGAATAGGAGTTCTGAGCACAAGGTATATAGTTTAGAATCTTCCTAACCAGAGGGTGTAGGTTGTTGAGATTCCTAAGTGCNAATATTTCAAAAATTTTAGACAAAAAGCACAAGAATCGAGCTTCAAACATGGTGAAAAAAATCATGCTGCATACACACTAACATCCACTAGTACAGAAAAAAACAGAATTGCTTTTTACATTTCTGGACATTTTAAGTTCCCAGAGTCCAAAACTGTAAAAATCTTGGTTTGTCATTTTTAAACGAATCTCCGATACCTTTCCTCTTATATATAATGAAGCCAGACAAGTAAAAATTAACCTTAAACTTCAGATTTATTAGTTTACAAATTTATTATTGTTATTATTTGCTATATTCAACATTAAAAGATGTAAAATAGTCGAAAAATTCATTATCAAAATAACGTTAATTCGATTAACGTTTTAGCCATTAATTTATTAATAAATCGTTAATATCTAAGGCCCGTAAGTGAATCAAAAACAGATTTCATTAACAGAGAAAATATTTTTGATTAGATATTACGTAAACGATCGACTACACGTGTCTATTGCTGTCACGTGACAGAAACTGCATGGGTAGCCTTCAATAGCAAAATAGTAAATCTATAATATCAATATCTTAAGAAGCATCTAATTTCAATTTCATTATTTGAATATTATAATCTAAAATTTTTAAATATTTCTTATTTAATATTTTTTCCTTTACAATATAATCCATTTGAGTGCAAATTCGTAAAAAAATTTGATAAGTTAAATTTAATATTAAGTTTTAGATGAAATTTAATATCTTTTTTAAAAACAGTTATATTATTGCATAATAAGACATTAATTAATAATAAAGGAGTAACATTTAATTATTTTTAACGGATTTATAGGACTGAATTACTAATGTCTATGGACTGAATTACTAATGTCTAGTTTTAATCAAATATTCGTCTAATTAACGTATTTTTGATAAAAATTCAATCTGTCTTATACAAATATCAACAATAAACTAGATAGTCAATACATAACTGATTTTAAGTAAATTACATGTCATCTGTGTGGATTGTTATTTCTATTAAATACTTATTTTAAACATTGAGATGTTTTTCTCAAGCTCATCATTATTGAAATCATGGATTGTGACAGAGTGCTGAAAAGTAATTTCATACTATTAGCTAGGAAATTCTCCAAGAATTTAATTCAGATAAAAAAGCAAGTTTTCCTCAAAATGCAGCAAGTATACCTAGGAAAATGTTTTCAGTTGCCTCTTTAATATTTGATGAAAATTTGTAAATAATTACAAAGATTTTATTCGCATACTAGCAGATTAGCCCGTCTTTGCTTGGGCATAAAATAACAACAGTAAAAATTAGGATTATTAGATTATTTCGTACTCCTAATTTTTGTTATCATTTTTTGCCCGGAAACGTCGTGCTTATCATCTAGTATACATATATAAGACTGGTTTGCTTTGTTAAACCGTTCGTTCGGTAACTCGCTCGCCTACTTGACGGCGTGCCTCTACCGAGCCTAGTAACAAGAAGTTAGAAACCATCGAATGAATCCATCACACTTGCCAATCTTCACTTTATTTTTATTAATATAAACAGTGACGGTTCTAGACACAGGGAATCTTTAGCCTGTTGTACTGTCAGGAGCCGCAAATACTCGCAAACAAGTATAAGTCACAGTTTGCTCCTAAACTAGTTCGGATACGAATGTTATAAGGTATCAAGTATAGTGTGATTTGGGCTTCATACGAGGATGCGTACTTAGGACTCTCAAAGTTGTTATGGTTATAAATAAATTGTTTTCGTAGACAACATAAATCAATTTAGAGACAATACAAATAATTTATATTAGACAAATTAAGTATAGAGCATAAAAAATACTTTTATATGAATTAAGATATTCAATACCATCTAAGAAAGAAAAAATTTAATTATTTTCTGCATAAAATAAAGTNGAGTGAGCAATTGTCATATAAACTTAAATATACTGCATCATTATTTGTCCCAATGCCGCACGCAAATAATTTATATTAGACAAATTAAGTATAGAGCACAAAAAATACTTTTATATGAATTAAGATATTCAATACCATCTAAGAAAGAAAAAATTTAATTATTTTCTGCATAAAATAAAGTTTTAGCATTAAAATTCACATAATGAACTAAATTTTATTTATATATTTACATCAGAATTTATTTGCATTTGTATAACTTGTTAATACATTCGATGTCGGATTCTGACAAAATTTGCCATTCGTAAACTTCTTTAATGGTAACATTTGGAAGAATTGGCATTAAACTTATTTTACCATCTTTAGCGAAGGATTTAGGACCATAATGCATAATGCTATCGTAACTATAATGGTCACATATTCTCAAGATATTCTTATCGTACAACTGAAATTCCGTCTTAAATTCTGTTTGTTAAAGAAAAGGCATCAGTTCAAACTTTTATGCATAAAAGTACATTGAATAGTATAACATACCATCTGTAATATTATTCCATAAAATTTTTATATATTTATCACGATCTGGTCGATTATGTTCGTGATACAATCCAATAGCGTGGCATAATTCGTGAAGTATTATTCCGATGTTCCAACATCCACTTCCTAAATTAAGAATCTGACGTCCACCCTCCTTTCCAACCATGGAATTACATCTGAAATATATATATCATACTACTGTGT